GTGGGCAGTTACACTATCGTAGTTCTGTCACTTCCTAGCCAGTAACTGAACCTCTGTGAACCTCGATTTTCTCACATGTGAAATGAGGATAATGATAACCTCAGAGTATTGTAGAAGTAGGGTTGATATCAATCCGAAGATTTTTCAGAAAGAAATGAGGGGATAGGGTGACAAAAAATGTCTTTCTGCCTCTGTTCCGAAAAGGAGTAGCTGTCTCCTCTCCCCAATATATTTTGACTTTTCTAAGTGTAGGTGTGAGGGCAGTGCTTAAGGATCCCGACACAGTCTTCAGAAAGCCTAGCAGGCCCTGACTTACCCAAGACGGTGGATTAAGGACTCTGAGTCCTGCGATGATCAGACAGCTGCCTGCTTGCTGAGCAGCCACGACTTGTGAGTCAAAATAAGGGATTCTGGAGCCTTTTCTTTTCAGCGTCTTTGTTGCCCTTCGGCTATTGTCCACAGAGAAGCTTAACAAATAGCCACGTTCTGAATGACTGTTTTGCTAGTAACTACTGTTTCAGGGCTGAAAAAGGACAAGAAGTCAATGTTTTCAAAGGATTCCTTTGCAGGACATTTGCAGCGCAAGGGTGGATTTCACAGGCATCTTAATCCCTGGCAGGACAGGCCGAGGGCTGTCTTGGAGACCAGAAGCAGCAAGCAAGAACTCCGATAACAAAAAGGAGGGGTGGGAGTTCCTTATTCGAATGCCCTGATAGAAGAAGGCCTTAGTCAAAGACACCATAGAAAGCAAGCTGCAGGCTGATAGGGAGTATTTGGAACATGAAGGTGTCAAGAGATCCAGGCTTTTTCTGAGGAATGAAATGACAAGGTGAAATAGTCCTTCACAATTGAGAAGAGCTATGTCAGCACCAACTACAAGCAGGGGCTCTAAGTAGGAAGATACCAGGGGCTGGGGATTATGCAAAGTGCAAATATCTTCACCATTTGGGCCTCCCCACCTCCATCACAAATAGAGTAAGAATCAATTAAAATTAGTGCAAGATTCTGATTGAAAGTAGAAGTCTTCAAAAGGTGGAAAAATCAGCATGCAAGACTCTGGTTCCAGTGATAACTGACTACTAGTTCATGTCCGAGGCAAGTGATGCACAATTTTACATAATTAGGACACCTTTGGGAGTAGAGAGCAGAAAGGACTCTCCATCCGAGTTCACTGGTTCACACAAACATCGGTGTGATTGGTGGTTTCCGATCCCATTTCCATTCTAAATTCAGCGTGGGGTGGAATGCCAAGGACTGTGACACTGCTGGCTGTTGGTGGCCCACAAAACTACTCCCCAGACTCTGGGGAAATTTGCAAAGCACATGTTTCTAGGTTACCAAATCATCTTTTCTCCTGTGCTGCCCACTCTTTTTAAAAGAAAATTGAGTTCTGAAACAGTTCATTTACAAGTCAAGAAATTTGATTATCAGAGTAATGCATTAAGGCATGCCCATTGGCCATCGCTGCATGACAAATGACCCCAAAGCTTCACGTCTTAAATCAACCACAATCTTTGATTGTGTGTCCCAGTTTCAGTGGACGGGAACTTAGGGAGCCTGAGTTGGGGAGAGATTCTGGTCTGGAGTCCCTTCTGTGGGAGCTGGAACAGCAGAAGGGCTTGAGAGTTGCAGTCTTGCTGGGTGTTTCACCACGAGAGCTGGTTTGAGCTTCCTCCCAACATGGCAGCCACAGGGTGGTCAGGTGCTTCAGTGCAAGCATTTCAGTTCCCAAGGCACGTGCTGCATCAACTCTTACAGCGTGACCTCAGAAGCCATGTAGCATCACTTCTACCACATTCTGTTAGTTGCAAGTGAGTCACAAGCCCACCCACATTCAAGGGGAATTAGTTTTACTTCTTAATGGAGAACTGGTGAGGTTCTAGCAGAGTGGTGTAGGATGGGAGACACTGTAGCCACCTTTGGAAAGTATGATATGCCATAAGGTATAAATAACGGATACTCATACCCTTTAAAGAACATTTTTACAAGGGTTTTCAAAAATTATTGATTTTGCAGAGACAGGAAGGGAGAGAAAGAGAAACGTGTTGTTCCGTTTATTTATGCATTCATTGGTTGATTCTTGTATGTGCCCCGATTGGGGATCAAACTCGCCTCCTTGGCATACTGGGATAATGCTCTAACCAACTGAGCTATTTGGCCAAGGCCTAAAGAAATTTTTGTATTTTAAGAAATTAATATATTAAGGTAAATAAATCTCTAAATTAGTAGAATAGGTACTGAAGAACCTTGTGTTAACTATCTTTAACCTCCATATTACCTCTGATTCATTGGGGTACGATGCGCTGTATTAGTTGTTAGGGCTGCCATAACAAAGGGCCACAAACTAAGTGGCTTAAACAACAGAATTTGATTGCCTCCCAGTCCTGGAGGCTAGAAATCTGAGATGAAGGTGTCAGCTGCGTTGATTCTTTCTGCGGGTGGTGAGGGAGAATCTGTTCCACGCCTCTCCCCTGGCTTCTGGTGGTTTGTTTCAATCTTCGCTGTTCCTTGTCTCACAGAAGCACCAGCCCCATCTCTGCCTTTACCCTCACACGGCGTTCTGCCAGAGCGCCTGGGTCTGCGTCAGGTTTCCTTTTCATACCAACCCCAGTCATACTGGGTTAAGGCATGCTCTCTGCAGTACGACCCCAGTGTAACTAATTACATCTGCAATGACCCTGCTTCCAAATAAGGTCACATTCTGAGGGACCGAGAGTTAGGACTTCAACATAGGAATCTTGAGGGGACACAATTCCACCCATAACACGTCTCTGATTTTCTGAAGGAAGGAGGTTCTTTTAATATGGCTTCTGAGAATAGGAATGGGGAGCAGGGCCCCATTCTCTGCTCAACCTCTGCTAAATTTTCAAAATTTATGTCTGTCTTCTCCTTTCCATGGTCCGTCCTTGCCATTCTCTCTTTCCTATTAAACACCTTCTTTAAAATTTAAGTACATATTTTCATTAAGGGTATTAAAGCATTCAGACTAGTTTAAGATTAAATGTCCTTCTTATTAAAATGTAATTAACAGATGTTGGGTGTGGAGTCTCATTCCTTCCCAGATTTTCTGCAGTCCTATGCCCCCAGTTAAATACCCTCAAGTTGCTTAGGATTTTCCAAACTTTATCCTCCTTGTATCCTGGGGCTCACCTATCCAGCAACCTGGTTCACTTTGAACAGGCTCAAAGAACAATTTATTGACTCTGAAGATTCAATATTTTTCTCACTCCGAAGGATGTTTAAAGTGACAAGGAAAAGACTGGCACATCCTGCTGTCTCATCAAGGAAGCCACAACTCCTTGGCTTTCTTGCCCCAGCACTTATCTTGCACTTGATATTTCCAAAATGCTGTCCAATCATTAAAGCACCAAGGTGACCTGTACAAGGTGATGTAATAAATGAGGAGCAGGCCCAGGCATCAGTCCTCTCATGAACAAAAACTTTGTCCAGTGCAAGCCCTAACCCTTTCTCCCTTTTCCAGAAGCTGACATCTACATGTACCTTTGCTATGCAAAGGGAGCAGCGGGAAAGGCAGGAGTTAGCAGATGGCCAGCAAGCAAGGATGATGTTTAGCAGATAGATGCCCACTGGGAGCAGCCATGTGTTAGTGTTTGTAGATCACTACCTGGGGAGTCCCAGAAATCTTAAGGAGAACCTTTGGAATCTGAAGCCCCGAGTCAGCAGCTGGGCATCACAGTATGATTCCTTTTGTATATATACACTGGGTGGTGAGATCTGGGACATTCAGACGTTGGTTGTGGAGTCTCATTCCTTCCCAAATTTTCTGCAGTCCTATGCCCCCAGTTAAATGCCCTCAAGTTGCTTAGGATTTTCTTAGACTTTATCCTCCTTGTATCCCGGGGCTCACCTATCCAGCAACCTGGTTCACTGAGCAGGCTCAAAGAACAATTTGATCATATGAACAACAGTGGAAAAGGAGTGGAAAATGTTTCTTCTAGTCCCTGAGAGACTGATCTTCTTAGTAATAGGATCCATTGGAAAGAAGCCCCCTGGAATTTGGTGTAGTCTTAAACCAATAAACAATCATTGCAAAATTTTAGGTCTTCCCTTAATCCCAGGAAGGTGCTACACGGAAGAATCCCAGACAGCTTGTGTGGCGTCCTCCCCAGGAAGAATGCAGTTCTCACTTTTTCCTCTGGAGAGAGAAGGTTGCATGCAATTGGCTAATCCTACACTTGAGTGGAGGGAAATCAGTGGCATGCAAATTATTTTATTTAGTATAATTTAAGATGCCATCCTGAATAGCATTTTACTCTTAGGAAGACCACTGAAGCAAAAACCAAATCCAAATCACATTCTGCTCTCCTGAGATAGTAATTCACTTTAACTTTTTTCTTTAGTTATTCACTTTAAAGCTGTGACTGGCTTTGTACTCCATGTAACTATATCTGATAAGGCACATTTCACTTTGATTATATAATACTCATGTGGAATAGCTCATGGGCAAGAATGCCAGTTGAAGCATCTCTTTTCATGTCAAATACCATCCTGGTCCTACATACCTAAATGCTAAGCACAGGGATCTACGCTTTCAGGTCTATTTTCATAATCAGTTCTAAGAAACTCATTCTAGTTCTCATTTCATCTTGGCTTCTGAGAATCTCAGAGGCAACCTTGGAGCTCAGTTGTACTTTGTATTCTTATTTTAGGTTTCCGGGTATAAGATGTTTACATTCACACTGTTTATTATTTACCCACATCTTAATGATTTCATTTTTTTTAAAGTTATTTTACTACATGGTACCTCAAATCTTTAAAAAAATAATGTAAGCATGGTATTAATAATAAATAAATACATTTTATTTATTAAAAATAATATATGAAAACTGAGAATGTCCTTAAAGATCATAGTTAGTTTTGTCCACAGGTTGATCAGAGAACCCTGGTAAGAGTAACTAGTTCTGCTGTTTTTCTGGAACACACCTATACTGCCATACTGAAAGTTAACATTGAAATTTCTCTGTATGAATTGTTTAAAGCCACCGCTGTGAGCCTTGAGAGGAACTGCTGCAGTCTCTTAACTCCTCCCCTTGCCTGGGACCACTCTGTCATACACCTTGTCTACCATCAGCAGCCAAAGGGACGCCACACGACCAGCTATGAGTATGGCCAGTAGCCATTCCCTCAGGTCAGTGATCCAGCCATTCTGGTTATGTACTTTGATATCCCCCATAAAGAAAACATTTTTGCTACTCTTGCCTCCTTTTAGTTCAAACAATAGCTCTGATTATTACTATAAGGGCAGGGGAGTGGTGAAGAGTGCAGATTCTGAAGCTGGACTCTGTGGGGTCAAGCCCTGGTTCAGCCTCACACTGCGCCTGTGAAGCTTAGTGAGTTCTGTGTCTTCCCTACGCCTCCTTCCTTCCTCCGTGAGTTGGAGGTGATGGTAGTATCTCCCTCACAGGACTGCTTCACCTACAATGAGTGAATGTAGGTAAAAGAGAACAGTGTGTGTAGTAAACTCAACTGGTTAGTCATTATTATTGAGCATCTACTCTGTGCCAGGCACCATACTAAGTGCTTTGTGTTTATTATCTAATTTCCCAAATACCCCCTCAGGTGGTATTATCAACCTTGTTTTAAAGAGAACCGGATCTCAGATCTCAGAGAGATTAAGAAACCAGTCTAATGTTGCCCCGCTGGTGACAGAGCAGATTTAAATGCCTCTCTCTTTGACCCGAAGTCCTGGCCTTCCCCTCCATTCTAGAGTCTTCTCTTGTGGAAGCAGCACTTTGCAGCAAAGAAGAGAAGATGGCCAGCAGGTCCGAGTCCTTTCGGAGAATGGTGAGTATGAGATGCTCACTGGATGGGCAGTCAGAGATTATTTTTAACAATATTTCCCAGTCACCAGGCTCTGGCCATTGTCCCTGACCCCTCCTGTTCCCTCGCTCCCAGATCTAGTCACCAGGCACCTCAGTTCTGCTCTAGTGATGCCTCTCACATCCCTACCATTCCAGGCATGCCTGGTGCTAACACCTCGTTTTAAGTTCTCATTGCCTCATGTCTCGGTCATTTCAAAAGCCTCTTGTCTCTCAGCCTGCACATGGCTAAGTTACCCCTCCTGTAACACCACATCATTCCTAGAGAAACTGCTTCCCTCACATGATTTCACTGTTCAAAGCCACCCAGTGACTACTGAATGCAGTTCAGCTTCTTAGAATGACGTTCAGATTCCTTCCTAATCTAATTCCAATCTTCACTGACACGCTGTTCTCTCAGGACTCCTCTGTGAGAATCTAAGGTTTAGCCAGGCTTGTTTCACTGTTATTCCTTAACCATGCTATTTCCTGTCCCACCTCCACGCCTTTGCCTACGCCATTCCCCGTGCCTGGCACACTCTCCTGCAGTCTTCAAAACCTGTTCATTGTAACCCAGCTTGGTCGCCCTCCCTGCTGTGACACCCTCCTCCCCCACTTCTTCCTTACCTGAATTACATTTGACATGTAACCCCCGCTTGTATTATAAATTCACCTTTTTTTATATATATATACTCTGCTTTCCCAGTTACATTGTGACTATTCTAGAGACAAAGGAGTGAAGGGGACAGGTAATGGGAGGACTTGGACATGAGAGGTGATGGAATAGCTTGGTGGTTAGGTTTTTGGGCTCCAGAAGCAGACAGGCTCGGTTTGAATCACAGCCCTGCACTAACTGGGCAATGTTTACTAGGACACCCCATTTCTCAGTGTCCCCATCCCGCAAAATGGGGATAATGACTGTCCCTTCCTCTCAGGGCTGTTGTGAATATTCAATGAGTGAATATATAGAAGCTCTTACCCAGGGCCTGGAACATAGGTAAAGCTCAGTTAATATTATTAATTATTACCTTCATTATCAAATAAAAAGAGAGAGTTTATGATGTCTAGACACCACATAAATTACCTTCTTTAATTGGTATGACAACTCTATGAGGTAATAGGATGCCCTAGCTGTGGAACCCTCTGACCAGCCCTGAACTGCTAAATCAGGACTTTTCCATGGGAGAGAAGGACACCCGTCACATTAAAGCCATGTTTCATGTTCCTGTTGCAGCTGAACTCGATTCCAACAGGCACGATTCCTGTCATTCTGGTGCTGGAAATAATAGCACTTTTCTCTAGTGGTCATTAGGAACTTCATTTCTAGTATTTTATACAAATTCTATTAACAGAGAATGACCCAGTTTAAATCTTGGCCACTGATAAGCTCTCTTTTTAGAATGGGAAGCAGGATATGAGATTGAAGAATAAGAGAGAAACAGATACAGATCTTTCTACAGGTGGGAAGGAAGCAGGACAGGACAGAGCCCGGGGATGCTAGGCTGCCACCACCCATAACATCCTGGGGATGCTGGGGCAGGTGGCGTTTCACTGTTGGCGCAGTCTCTTCAGAGAGCCACGTAGCTGGCAACAGATGTTTTGAGCTGTGTAGATTTTAAGCTCAACCTCAGGTCAGAAACATGTCTAGAGATGGATATAGGGTTTCTTGTTTTGGGGGGGCTCTTTTGGTCACGATTTAGCAATTTGCATTCAGTCATAACCTTGACCTATCCTTTGTGTATTTAGAGATAAAGAAAAGTAAAAATGAAAGCACTAAGTCGGTGGCGAATCAGTGGTACCACACCTCTCATCCCACCCCCTTTTTGCTGGAGGAGCTCGTCCTTTCAACAGAGCTGTGAATTCTAGCTACTCGTACCCTCAGATTCCCTTGCAGCTAAGGCATTGATATGAGACCCGATACAATCCAACTGACCTGTAAAGTCTGCTGAGGGTCTCATGGAAGATTCCTTCTTCGTGGAGTTGAATCTAATTGACACGTGGTGACTGGAATTGCTGCCGCCGTCTTGTTAGTAGGAGGGAGGCGTTGCTGACACGCTGAGGATGGCGGAGCCAAGACAGATTCTGGATCCTGGATGACATCGTTGGTCCAGTTCAGCTGGAGTGGATCCAGCTTATTGCTATGTGAAATAATGTCCTTATTTGTTTCATTTATTTTGGTTAGATATTCTGTTCTCATAGCCAAAAGCATCCTTGCTGATGCAGTGGCCAAAGCATTTTAACATTCTAAGCAGTAACACTGTATCTTTAGAAGGCCACCCTAGTCAACACAACTGGTTCTTGCCCTTGCTAGTGTGTTATTTCCCCATTTGGAGACAGGCTAGGGAGATGTGCTATATCCACTTGAATAAAGATTATGCAGCTAGGTAATCTGAGTTTAAAACCTGACTTTACCTCTGTGACCTTGGGCAATTACTTAACTTCCCTGTACCTCAATTTCCTCACCCATTAAATGAGGGGAATAAGCATCCTGCCTCATAGGATTGTACTGAGGACAAATGAGCTAATGCGTATGAAATACTTAGAATAGTGCCTGGCCTATAGCAAGTCATCAATCAATTTACACCAGCTTTATTTTCATCCTCTCCGGCAGTGTGCTCTTCTGTGTGTTTCCAAGCATTTTTGCTGCCACACTTTCCACCCACATTTCCCTGTGCCAAGCACTGCTGGGAATAGCTGAAATGCAGAACAAGCATGGCCAGCTCAGTTCTCTTCCTGGCATGCATAGCACAAGATCATCAGAAAAGAAATTTAACTAACAAAGAATAACAAATTTGTCTGAAAGCACCATATAGAAGCCAAAATTCCCCACACTCCCCAAATCCCACACTCTAGGTGTCCTTCATTTCATGCATGAAGACAGAGGTGACAAGGACTCCTTGGGGCTGGTTTTCTCAGGTCCCTGGCGTGTGCCCTTAGTACCAAGTGTGTCCCTCAGACATCTATAACCATAGTGAACAGAAATGGGACAACCCCACAGGTCCTCTTACATCTTTACCACTTATTATTTTGCTGCCTCTCATTTATCTGCTTCTTTAGTATTTTGTTGGGCCAAGAATCTCTTCTTGTCTTCTTCTCTTGGGAGGCTCCTTTTCCCATCAATGATGATTGTACATCCCTGTCTGGCTACCACCCACAGAGACTGCAGAGGCTATTTCAGCTTCTTACATCTGCATTATGCTCGTCAATGTGGGTCGGCTTTCAGCCAGTACTTCTGTATATTTTATCCTGGGGGCCCTTGGCAGCTCTCAAAATACTTTGGCCTAAGTTATTTAATCTTCACAAAAATCTTGTGCGGTGCATGTTTTTATTCTAAACCAGACTCCTTGGGGCTTTTTCCCTTCCTGTAGAGATCAAGGGCAGAGGGACAAAAATACTTCACTTTTTTTACAGTATGGATTGAGGCGATAAGGACTTTGTTTCATTTGACCTCACCAGTGAGTAAGTGTTTCAGGCGGCAGGAGAGCAAAGACCACGCAGAAATCACTGAAAGTCCACCTGAAACTCGAGGGCTTGGCTTTTGAAGGAAGAACAAACACCGGATACTTCTCTGGGTTGAAGGGTTCTGACTTCTAACTGGTGGTCCAGCATAGAATAGGGCAGGAAAGGGAGAGAGCTCTGGAAACTAGTTGGCTTAACAAAGTACTCCCTGGTATGAAATCTTTTGCCATTTGTATGTGTGAATCTCAAGAAGGAATATATCTGTCAAGAAGGACTTCTTGTGATTAACTGGGTCCAAATCCATAACCAGAAGCTCTCAGCCGTTGCTGATGAAGGCCTTTCCTTAAATGCACATTGTATTTTAAGGAAAAGCCAGACTGAGCTTTCAAACTCCTAAACTGTGCTTCTGCGGTTTTAGTTCACCTTTATAAGGGAGCTCCTTTACTGTATTTCAACCAATAGCCTGAGACCTACCATGTCCAGCTGGAACTGTGCAGCTATATGCTCATTTGCATTGGTACTGACAAATCAGATCCGCTCCAGAACAACGAATCAGACTGCAGGAAGCCAACTAATCACGCAACCATGCAAGCTGTGTGATTTGGGATCCTCATTTGCATAAAAATGGACCAACCAGGAACCAGGGTGGGAACTTTATAAAAGCAGCCTCTTCTTTGAGTGAAGCAACTCACAGTTTCCATAGGAGGCTGAGGCTTCTAGCTTGTGAACTGTTCACCTGAATCAAGTTTTTCCTCTTAAATCACCTCAGGCTGGGAACTTTTGTTGACATAGACCAAAAAAGGACAATATTCAGTCCCCTTAAGATTAAAGATGCTCTCTATTGGTTTATTTATCCAAGAGCCACTCAAAACCTTATATTAGAAATGACTAGGCTAGAAACCAAGGAGCCCGCCCTGTCCCCTGCGGGGGGGGGGGGGGGGGGGGAGTGTTTGAGATTCTCTGTGTGGAGTTGACGTGCTGCTGGAGGTTTGCCTGAACAGGACTGCAGGTTTGTAGAGCTCTGGTTGCTGCATTCGGGAAGGTGCAAGGAAACAGAGGCCTCCGCGTGGAGGGTTGCTACCACGCATCTTTGCCACCTCAGCGTGTGTCTGAGCCGCCAGACTTGTGGAAAAGTTCCTTTCATTTCTTCAGTTTTTATTCAGTGCCAGGTTGGGAGGCTTGATGAAGGGGTCAGGGGCCCAACCATTGTGGTAACCAGAGCAGTACAAGTGACAAATGCTGTTCTTTCCTTTTCTTTCTTTTTCTTTTCTGCCTTCCAGCAAGATTTTAAGAAATGAAAACAAAAAACTCAACCAAAACAAAAGAACAACCTCACTTTCTACTTTCAAGCACGCCCTGTTCCTTCACAAGGAAAAAAGTGCACAGGGCAGCATTTATTCATAAAGCCTCTATTACGCTGTCTGTCCTTGCTTGATTTTGGCTCAGGGTTCAATGGGAGGAGGGGAAGCGGGGGAAGGCTCACAGTAGAGAACAGTAAAAAGTTCTGCTTTTCCCGATGTAATGGAAAACCACAATAGTTCTGGACGAGTGGCATGGACCACAGCAGTGACTTTATTCTCTATCTCCCCCTTGGACTGGTGGTTGCCAACTTCAGGCCTGGCAGGCTAACCCAGCCATTCCTGCCTGGCATGTCCTCCCTCTGAAAGGAGCTTCTTCAAGGATAAATGGGGCCTCTTCACTCACTGTCACTTGGATGGGCTCCTTCGGGTGGCTTTCACGGTAGAGCAATTTCTACCTTAACTGTGCAGTGTGAAAACTTTGGAGTCATCCTGGACTTCTCTCTTCCTCACCTCCCACTTCTAGTCCACCAGAATATCCTGTTGGCTCTGCATTCAAAATGTAGTCATTATCTAAACCAGTCAGTGTCTGTAACAATTTAAATCACGAGACTCATTCAGTATGCCTATATAAGGTTCAACAAGAGAAATGGAACCAGTAGGATGTATATCTATTAGGAGATTTCTTGTAAGGAATCGCCTTACATAATCATGTGGGCTGGTTAGGCAATTCTGAAATGCACAGGGTGGGTGCTCAGGAAAGGCAGGCAGGAACTCGGAGCACAAGCTGAAGATGCTTTCATTACTTGGATTGTCTTCTTAACCACCGCCCCCCCAACCCCGCCACCCCCAGCTCTGCTTGTTAAGCCTTTCAACTGGATCAGGGCTCCCCTGGATCAAAGATAATTTTCTTTACTTACTCAATTAGAGACTTTAATCACATCCACCAAATATCTTTATTGTGACACCTAGATTAATGTTTAATTGAATAGGGGGCTGTAACCCAGCCAAGTTGAGCTATAAAACGTATCATCACATTACCTACCCTCACCTCTCTCCTCCACATCCCTCCTGTGGTTGGAGTCACCATTGTTTCCCCTCATTGCTTTAGCCTCTTACCACTTTCCCTGTTTCTTCTCTTGTTCTCCTTACCCCTTCTTCACCCTTCCCCCCAACTATTTTCTTTTGCGTGTGTGCTTATTTTTTTCTTTTGATTTAATCTTTATTGTATTTTTTCCATTACTAGTTAGTTCCCTTATATCCTCCTCCCCCAGCAATCACCACACCGTCGTCCATGTCCACGAGTCCTTTTTCCTTTTTGGTCAATCCCTCTGCTCCCCAACCTCCCCCCACCCCTCACTAGCTGGCATTGGCTCTATCTATGAGTCTGTCTTTATCTGTTTATTAGTTCAGGTTATTTATTAGATTCCACATATGAATGAAATATGGTATTTGTCTTTCTCTGACTGGCTTATTTCACTTAGCATGTTTTCCAGGTCCACCCATACTGTCACAAAGGCTACATTTTCTTCTTTTTTATGGCTAAGTAGTATTCCACTGTGTAAATGTTCCATAGTTGTTTCATCCAGCTGTTTTCAACAGAGCAGCTACAGTGACCATTGTTCCATTGTTTAAAGCCCTCAGGGCACACAGAGCGATGATCTCCCAAAGCTGTGGGCATCTTAATCTCCAGAACCTGTGAATAATTACTTTACATGCAAGAAGGACTATACAGATATACCTAGGGCATGGATACTGAGATGGGGAGATGGTCCTGGATTATGGTCCAGGTGGGCATAATCCAAACATGTGAGTGCTTCAATGTGGAAGAGGAAAGCAGAAGAATGGGTCAGAGAAATGCGCTGTGGGGATGTGACTCTCCACTGCTGGCTTTGAAAGAAGAGAAAGGGGCCACAAGCCAAAAGCAAAGAGAAGGGGATCTTGGTCGTACAACTGCATGGAACTGAATTCTGCTAACAAACTGATGAGCAAGGGAATAGAGTCCCCCTGAGCTTTCCAGCCACCCTGCCACGGGGCTATAATTTGTGTGCTTTCTACTTCTAGTCTGGTGAGACTTCTGTTGGACTTCTGATCTACAGGACTGTGAGGTCAATTTATGTTGGTTAAGCCACTGAACTTGTGACAATTGTTACAGCAGCAACAGAAAATGAGTACGGCCCTCCAGCAACTTTCCATCCGAATCAGGGAATAAACTGAACTCCTCAGAATCTCCACCTCCCTTTCTCTTGACCTCACGTCCTGCTGCTCTCCCCTACTCGCCCTTCACTCCCTACATAAACTCCATGGCTGGGACTAGAGTAAAGCTCTTGAGGCATTAGCCTTGAAATACCAAAAAACTTAGTAACAAGATAAATTATATTTTAATATAATATCAAAATTGAGTCAAAAAATCATGATATGGAAAATATAAAAATTTGGAAGAAAATAGGATCCAGCCCTGCCTTTGCACAACTCACCGGCCCCTAATCCCAGCCCCGCCCTTGGTGCTCTCCAACTTCCGGGTACACTCCGCCAGCAGCACTTGTCCATTTGTTTTGCCCCAGGTATCTGCAAGGCTTCCCGCCTCACCTGCTTCAGCCTTTGCCCAAATATTACCTTCCCGATGAGCCTTCCCTGACACTTAACTTAAAATGTAATGCCCCTCGCCAGCACTCCCTGACTCCCTCTCCCGCCAGCCTGCTTTATATTTCCCCAAAGCACGTCTAACATTCTATTTTATTTATTCACTACTGTCACAGAGGTAAAATTTCTCCTCTACATTCTTAGCGTTCCTGCTTAAAACTGTCTTAACAAATGAAGAGGAGAAAAGCATACACATTTTATTTTAATAAGAACCTACATGCACATGGACATGTTCAGAAGAAAGGGAAGCCCCAAAGAAATGTCTAAGCCTAAGTGCTTATATGCTAGGTTCAAAAAAGAGTGGCAATTATTTTGTGACTAAAATATACAGGGGGATTGAAGGAAGATAAGAGTTATTTTAACAGGGTCTGCTTGTACACACTTCCCTCGGCCTCAACTCCTGCTCTCTGGTGATCAGACTGTTGTACAATGAGAGCATCCGTCACGTGGGAGTCTCACCTCCTGTCTTCGGAAAGAACAGGGGATATCAGGGTGCCCTTCTTGTACCTGTTATTTTCAAGCGACTTCGGCTCAAAATAATAAACGTGCCAAAGCAGCATATCTTGGGATGATGTATTCTGAACCCCTTCACTACTTCCTGTTAACTGCTGTCTCTCCAAGACCTAACAGCGTGCGGCATGTGGCAGGTGTTCAGTAAGCATTTATGGTGGGAATGAAGGAAGGAGAAGGAGGGGAGGAAGGGCGGGAAGCGTCGGTGGGGGAAGAGCGTGGGTATGTGCATGCAGGGAACTCTCCCATCGGTTACTCAAAGCCGAAATCCCTGCAGAACTGCAGTACGTTTCAGTCTGTCTGTTTGCGGAAATGAGCAGGGTTATTTTTTCCACTCCCAAAGGGAGGACAGCCATGAAGAGCCAGTACGTTCTATTAATTAGCAGATTTGGAATAGCTGTTTACTTTCTTTTTTTAGGACTTCAGCTAAATTCTGTTTCCACTGAAATTCTGGGAAATGTTTGACTATTATACAGAGACTTTATCTCAAAGGATTTTGAGATGAAGTCTTTGCAACTCTGTGTCAATAACACCTAGAGATTCTATTCTCCTATAGCTCCCCCTCAACCACTACAAATTCAATTTTGAAGGTCTCCTTCCTCCCTTTTTATATGAGTGGATCCTAATAACGCTATTGTCAAAAATCAGTGATAACTTACTTCAAGATAAATTGACTTTTCTGCCATAATAACATAAAACATTGTGATAAATATATTTCCAGGTTGATTGGGAAGGAAAACAGACCCAAGTTTTACCACCACCCATAGACTGATTCGCACTCACAGGAGTAGGGGGTTGGCTGGAATATAGGAACAGGCTTTACACAGAGTGAAGTTACAGATGGTGGCACCTGCTCAACTACGTGGATTGTGGGCCAGGGTCCCAATGTGGCCATGTGGAGGGTAATTAAGTGGAGACAGCAGGTTAGGAGAAGGAAGGAAAGAGACAGGTGTAAAAGGAAGCCAAGAGGAGGGAAGGGAAGAAGATTGAGAGAGAAGGGGGCAGGGGGAGAGAGAGGGAGGGAGAGAGAGAGAGAGAGACTTGGAAACAAGCCTGAAAGCACAGCCTCCATTCCTGACGGCAATTCCAGTTCTCGTCCCGACCCCTCCTGTGGGTTCTCCCTGTGGCCTTACTTACGCTAGTTTGTGGGCTTCTCTGTTCCTTGTACTGAGAAGAGCTGGCTGGACTGAATGCTGCTGAGGATGGTTGTTGAAAAAGCAAAAGGTTCTTCCCGCAGACCTGGAAAAGCACAGCCTGAGTGGTTGTGCTGGTTTCCACTGGAATTAAAGAGTGGGTTTTGATGATTTAGTATATGAAAGAAAAATAGTTTCAACCAAAGGTAGTTTCTTCAATTGGATCCTGGAACGGGAAAAGGATATTGGTGGTAAAACTTGTCAAATCTGAATAAAGCCTGAAGTTTGGTTAATAATAATAGTAATAGTGATTTCTGAATTGTAACAATGTAGCATGGTTATGAAAGATGGGAACATTAGGGCAAATTGGGTGAAGACTATACAGAACTCCCTGTACTATCTTCGCAACTTTTCTGTAGATCTAATCTTATTCCCAAATAAAAAGTATATTTTAAAAATATGTTTCAATTCCTAGATAGAGTGATGGAATGGAAACAACAACTGTAACAGAGCTCAAAATACCAAGGTCAAATCTGGAGAACCTTGGTTCAAGTCCATGCTGGCTTCTTACCTAGCTGTGTAGCCTTGGCCAAGACACTTCACCTCTTGACGTCCAGCTCCCTCACAAACTCATAGTGCAGTTTGGAAGGTGAACAATGCCCCTGGCGTGATAGCCTGGCATGGTGAGCCAGGGCGATGTTGCAGGGAGGTGAGGAGCTGGCCCCACCTTTGGCTTGTGGTACTTACTTTTTGCACTTTGACAAATAGACAACAACAACAAAAATCTCCATCATGATACCACATGATGCTTCTTCAGAGGTGTATGTAATGTATGTAGAAAATCACGTATCACGGAGCACACACATTTTATGGGTTGCCTTTCAGGTAACGTTATCTCACTGGCATTTTTTAATGTTTGTAATTGTCCTCATAAATGTTGTAACTGCAAATCAAAACATATATACATACATTTTGTATAAATACATGTATGTACACATTTATGTGTAAAATATAATTAAATACATGTGTATAAAACATAGACATAGATCTAAAACAAGTGCCGCTTTGGCATATATAACACACATGCCAATATAACATACTGGTCAAGACCATAGCAACAGAGTCAGGTTTTGGGTTTGAATCCTAACTCCACCATTTACTGTGTGGGGTTCATTCTCTCCTGTGTCTCCTTTTCCTCACACAGGGAAACAATAAAGCTTGCTTAAAACACAATTGAGATAACTGCTATAAACACTCAATAAAATATTGGCTTTTATTATAACTAAATTTTCATAGTTTATAATAATTTTAAGATTATAGAAATGCGACCATCCTTTATAAGGCCACCTAAGAGATCCACTATAATACTTTGTGGTTATTTCTCCTCTCCTCCTTCCATGTGAGGTCTTTGTGGGTTTTTTAATTTTTTTATTCATTTGTATGGATTCTACAGGTTAAAAATAGTTGTTCTTTGTCTTCATCTTTGCCGAATATTTTCCCCAATCTATTGCTTTTTTGGTTTGTTTCAATTACTGTCTTGGAGGTCACATGAAGGTTTGATAAACATGACTTTGTAGCCTATGGGAATGAAATTTTTTCCAATCCCAGACCAATTTCCTTTTCTTGAGGAAGCTTAGGGGTGTATGGATGGCCCCAAGACTTCCAGGAGAGGTCCTGGGATCTGTGCTCAGTGTCTCCATCCATTGTGGTGGCACCTTTTGAAATTCCCTCACTCCCGTCTGGTCATCAGTGTGGGTCCCCCCCACTGGTCCCAGCCGTGAGGCCTCTTCAGGTCCACCATCTGCCAGCGCCACCCTGACGATGCCGTGCTGTGCTGGCAGCCAGCCGCTCAGGCTTGTGGGATGGGCTGAGGCTGAGTCGGGCTTCCTCTGCTTACGTACAGAAACCAACCTCCTCTCTCCTCTAGTCTCCTGAACTAGGCTGAGCTTCAAGAATTCTGGGGCCTGTGCCGGTTCCTTCAGTTTTTAGACGTATCATCCCAGGAGGTAGCAGGGCCCCAACCAAGTAGCTTTCTCAGGAAGATGAGTATTTGTGTGCAAGCAGTGGGGGTGGGTGCTTTGTGGAACTACAGCAATGATGGCGCAGTGGGAAAGACTGACGCTGGTGTCCCAGCAGGAGCTGCCACCAATTCTCAGGGCGTGTTGAACCGGGATGACCCCTCGGAATTATCCGAAATTGAGGCAAGAGGGCAGGACCTTTGTTCTTCCACATAGAAGAATCCTTATTATTGGTTGTCTCTGGGAGGGGGCATCATCTTGGGCAAGGCAGCCCCTTGCAGTTCCCAGGGAGGAGCTCAGTTGACTCAGTTGAGAGTCCTTA